CGAAAGCCAGAACTGGCTGGCCGAATGATGGCCTGGTCAATTAAGTTGTTCGAGTTTTACATCCGTTTTGAACCTCGGGGGGCCATCAAAGCTCAAAGCCTGGCCGACTTCATCAACAAATTATCGCCACTTGGCCACTTTGAAGATAATGCTTGGACCATGCATGTCGACGGATCGTCCAATCAGCAAGGAAGTGGTGCCGGCATAATCCTGGAAAGCCCATCTGGTATTACCCTTGAGCAATCACTACGCTTCAGCTTCAAAACGTCAAACAATCAAGCAGAATATGAAGCTTTGCTTGCCGGCATGAGGTTAGCTGTCGAGATGGGAGCCACAAAAATCGTGTGCTGGATCGACTCGAAAGTAGTGGCCGAACAGGTCAATGATAACTTTCAAGTCAAGGACGTGAACCTGTTGAAGTATTACCATCTATTCAAAGGGATGAAGGAAAAATTTCATGACGTACAAGTTCGACACACGCCACATTGTAACAATGAAAGAGCCGACCAGCTAGCTCGACTGGCTAGTAGTCGAAAACCAGGACAGCTCCGGTCAACCATCCACTTGGAACTACCTACGTCAAGTATTCCACAAGAGTGCATGCCGGTTGAAGAACCTTCAAGTTCGTGGATGACCAACATCACAAACTACATTGTTAACGGTTCCGAACTGGCCAATCCGATCGAAGCTAAGAAGATCCGAACCCAAGCGGCACGCTATTCCGTGGTGGCCGCCAATTACACACATAAAAAATTATACTTATGTTTTGTCCATATAATAAGAATTATTTGGTTATATTTAATTATTTATACTTAATTTTTTGAAACAAAATATTGTGTTGTTTTGTTTCCTCTACTAAACATTACTATTGATTAATTTACAAAATTTATTATTAACTTTAGAACTTTTAAGATAAATTTTTAGGCCAATGTTCATTCTATCATTTAAATTTCCAAAATCAATGTAAAGAATGCTTATAAAAAATTAAGAGTGAAAATATAAATAAACTACAAGGAAAAGAAGGGCATGCCCTTAAAAAAAAATTATATTCAATGCGATAACTATTTATAAATTTTGAAACATGGTAAACTTTTTAAAGCAAATTAAAGAAATAACAATAAAATTCAAACATCATTAAAAGTATTATATATATATATATATATATATAATTTACTATATAAAGAAAAATAAGAGCTTATCAACAATTTAATAAAAAATCAACATAACACAAGTTTTAATAAAATTAACAACAACTATTAAAAATGTACAGTGTTACATGCTATCTACCATTTCACGTATAAACAAATCGATGTTAGGAATTAAAAAAAATAAAAATAATATATATATATATATATATATATAAAATGAAGGATCCAGAAAATTTAAATAGTGGGTACAACATTTATTTATATATTTGTAATATTAAAAATTTTACATATAATTTTTAAATATATATATCATAATTATTTTTCAAAAGCTTTTATATCTACGATTATGATTAATGATGAAAATAAATTAGATCAAATTAGATTATATTATAATTTAATAAGTTTGAATATAAATTTTTAAAAAAATAAATGTCCTAAATATGATTTATTTATCTGTTATAGACATTTTTTTTAATATTTAGTTAGAACTACAATCCTAAATACCTATTTAGGCTTAAATATGTTTTTAGTCTCTCAAATTTAAGACAAATTTATTTTTGGTCCCTTAAATTTAAAACTGTTATTTTTAGTCCCTGTAATTTTCAAAAATCTTCTTTTAATCCCTTAGATCACTAATAACATATTTGAAATGACTAATTAAGACAATTATGTAATATCTATCGGATTTAATGTGATATTTTCACTAATAGAGATATTAATAAGTAGATTTTATGCAATAATATTTGATAAATTTCTTAATAAAATTTGAATATAAGGACTAAAATAAGATTTTTTGAAATTACAGGGACTAAAAACAAAAATTTTAAATTTGAGGGACCAAAAATAGATTTACCCTAAATTTGAGAAACTAAAAACATATTTAAGCCACCTATTTATAATAATTTAACACTAATAAAAAATAAAAAATAAAAATGTTAAATTATATAAAAATCAAGTTTAGTTTATTTATGATATAAACATGTTTTTAATATCTAATATAAATTTTTAGATGATAATGTATTTTAAAACATATTTTATAATAAAAATAATAAATAGAACATAAATCATCCAATCTTTCTTATTTTGATTTTTTTAATCAACGTCTATAATAAATAGAAAGTACAAAAGTTAAACATACATATTACAAATTTTATTTTATCAAAAATCAATTTTTTTAATATATTACATTATATATGTGACATTAATATATATATATATATATATATATTATAATTATAATTTTTTAAAAATTATAATTATAATTAAGTTTGAGATTACTATAGTTATCATTAATTTGCGATAAACAATTAAAAATCTCGTGAAAAAAATATCTCAAAATAAAAAATTATAATACATAAATGTTGAACGAAGAATATTATAACATCTAAATAATATTGTTATGATTATGATATCACCCTTTCAATATTTCAATTCCAATATTTTATTGTCTATCTATCCTTAACGGGAAAAAATGTTTTTAAATTTTGTTAATCAAGAGAAAGAATAATAATTTTAACAATCTCAACCACTTAAATAAATTTCATTCAATTTCACATCTCACATTTTACTCAAATGCTCAATACCCAACACGCATTGACGGATCCACATATAGTATTGTGGGGGCACTTGCCCCCACTATCATTTGCTACATACATACATATTTTTTTATTAAAAAATAATATATTTTAAAAATAAAAATTATATTTTAATAAAATAAATAAATATATTTAAATTATTGTATGTAAAAAATATAATTTGAAAAAGATATTTATTTATTTGATATTTGTCATAAAAAATCAAAGAATTTAATTATAATATATGTATATATATATATATTAATACTCATATATATAATGTAATATATTAAAAAAAATTAATTTTTGATAAAATAAATTTTGTAGTATACATGTTTATCTTTTGTATTTTTTATTTATTATATATGTTAATTAAAAAAAAACTATTAGAAGATTTATGTTCTATTTAGAATTTTTAATATAAAATATATTTTCA